GCAAAGAGTTGAAGATGCCATTTACCAGATCGCCCATACAGGTGGAGCGAACATCCAAAGGAACGACGAAGAAGCCAGCTGCCCAATCTGCCTGTGCCAGGTGGACGATGGCTACAGGCTCGAACCCTGTCTCCACCAGTTCTGCCGGTCCTGCCTTGTGGACCAGTGCGAGTCTGCAATCAGAAGCAGGGACGGCTTCCCCTTGCGCTGTCTCCACAGAGATTGTGGGACCCCCATCATCGTTGCGGACCTGAAGTCTCTTTTGACGGTTGACAAGCTGGAAGAGCTCTTCCGGGCATCCTTGAGTGCTTACGTGGCAGGAAACCCGTGTTACCGTTTTTGCCCCTCGCCCGACTGCCCGTCAATCTACCGCGTGGGGACAGACTCGGCATTCGTCTGCGGAGCGTGCTACGCGGAGACATGCACAAGATGCCACCTGGAGTACCACCCAGACCTCTCGTGCGACAAGTACCGCGAGTTCAAAGATGACCCTGACCTGTCCCTCAAGGAGTGGTCGGACGGGAGGGAGAACGTGAAGAAGTGTCCCGTGTGCAAGTGCACCATAGAGAAGGTGGACGGCTGCAACCATGTCGAGTGCCGGTGTGGGAAACATGTTTGCTGGGTCTGCTTGGAGGTATTTGAATTCAGCGATGATTGCTATAATCATTTACGTTCTGTCCATTTGGCCATTATATAATACATATCTTCTTCTGTATATAAACATGTATCTATTATCTCTATATGTCTATTATGATCCGTATGCCATTACTATGAATGCATCATCAGATATGTGTATGTCTCGACAACGTAAATCTGTTACTCCGTCGAATGTACGAGTATCCTTTTTTCCAGCTTCGTAGCCATTGAGGTAAATTAACGGGTACATGNAGCATTTTGACCATTTACTTTTTACCCAATTTTGAGACAATAGAACAGTCTTATTAGTAAAGTGTACAATGAATCAGAAGAAGTATATGCATCCAAATGCAAGGCAAACCCCACAACCTATTCCCACACAAAAAGCCCTTGACACAAACCATGCCAAACTGGAGCTTGAAGAAGATGGTCCTTTATGGTGAGCATCCGTGCTCTTCAACTGAGATGCTTGAAGCTCAAGCAACCTGACGGTGTTCCGGCACGCGAGAAACCTCAGGGATTCTTGCAGGAGAAGGTTAGACAGGTGATCGGTTTCCTTGCACAAGGCTTGGTATCTCCTCTCCGCCACTCTCGCCCTACTCTGCGACAGCCTCAGTGCCTTGAGCAGGATCTCCACCTTCTCCTTCCCCTCCAAACCCCTACTGCATTTGTCGCCGTCCTCGGTGAGCTTCTGGTGGGACCCGTTTTTTATGCCGAATGTTAAACTTATTGCCGCCTCGTTGCAGTTCGCTGGCATCGTTCCAGCCGCCGTGGATCACTCTAGCTAGGTGGTGGTGGAGGAGAGGGAGGAGGACAAAGAATAATAAAGGGAGCGGGAGGAGATAGATAAGTCATATTTTGCGGAAGAAGCTTATTGGTTGGTTTCGTGGGATTGGTGGGGCTTTCGTAGTCTTCCTATTTTATCCTTTGCTTTGGGTGTGGGTTAAGAAAAACATCATTTGCTCTTTGTTTTAGCTTTTGGTACACTCACTTATAAACAATTGTACTCTATCCGTCTCAAAATTAAATTTTCAAGCCGTTTAGACTAAAATTACTTTAAATTTACTTTGTTTAAATTAATATATAATTAAAAAATAAATTTACATGTACATTTTTTTGAAAATTAAAATTCATATGGAAATTATGTTCCGTAAAAAAACAAGATGTGACATGATTATTATTTTGTCAAATTAGTAATAAGAATTGATAAGATGAACACCCGGGCCGGTCCTTAGCTTAATCGGTCATGTCCTCGGTCCAATAAATGCCCCTTATTCGGTCCCGGTCTAGGCCGGATTTGACCCGATGAACACCCCTACCTGCAAGTCAAAGAAACTCGAACTTGAGGACTCTTATTCACCCATCTTAGCTCGTAGGCCTTTTCACGGTGTTTTGTGGGTAAAGCTTGATAGTCCACCAATTTCTGGGAAACTAGATTCTCTATGTATCCGTTATCTACTACTCCCTCCGTCCTTAAACTTTCTTCTCAGAGCACTATTCCAACTTCACGGGAATTTATATTTATTTGTGTTTTTTCATGGCCTATATGATAAAATAAAATATTCTTGTCACCACTTGTTTTGTTGAACTTTTGATGTAGTTTTTAAATATGTATGTTTTATTTTTTATTTCTATACCAATATTTAAATAAAATAGATTTAAAAAATTTGGAATTTTTCTTTATTTTGCGCAACGGGAAGAAAGATATAGGACGGAGGGAGTACTAAGTTGTATACTTTGCCTGTAACTGAACAATGTGCCTTGAACAGATTCTTTCGTTGTCCCTCTTCTTTTGAGGAGAGAACGAGCTGTTAGAGGATGATGTTCACCCTATCTTAAGATTCACCCTCACCAAACTCCACATCTGAGTATCCCTCTTCATCCTTTTTTGGGTACTCCTCGCCATCAACTTTCACCAAACTCCATGTTCTCACTGGTGATCTCCTCTGCCTCTATTTGAGGCAAACAAGTTCGTCCCACTAGTCGTGCTTTTTAGACGAATGACCACCATCTTGACTTGGTTTCCCTGCGAAACCCCCATGACATAAACAAATCTATCAACTTTAATCTGCCAATCCAGGAACTCCTCCACTCTCGTAGTTCCATAGAATAGGGGAATATCTGCCTTCACGCGGTAGTCATGATTATTTTGTTGTTCGTCTTCACAAGTCTCTTCTTCTTCGGAACTTGAGTCTTCTCCATCAGGATGGTTTCCAACCCGTTGATGTGGTTTTTGATCTTGACCTACTTTTCTGCCTACCTGTGGCAGTCGGTTGTTGTTAGCAAGGACGTTAGTCATCTGAGTGGTTAACGCTGCCATCTGATTTGTCAGACTAGTAAGATCCGTGGTAAAAGCCGCAATGATCCCTTCTAGGTCTGTCTTGGTAACTAGTTCTCCCATGATGCTACAGAATTCAAAACAAAACAGGAGAAAACCACGCTCTGATACCAACTAACGCAGTAGGGAACTCGAAAGACAAGCAAACGCGAGTCTTTGTCAACGGATATTCGCAAGCGCGAAGCTCTAGAGTAATAAACTGGAAGTCCACCAGATTGTAAGAGAAAACTTTGAGTAAAAAAAAAACAATTCTATATTCTCAAGATTACATATGGGTATTTATTATAGGGAAACCCTATAATACGAATAGGAATAGGAATTTAACAACAAAAAAAGAAGAAAAAATTAAAAAAATATTAAACTACTATTTTAGCTTGGAACGACTTTGCGGCAAGATCGTCTTTTAAGCGTGCATACAACCTGCCTAGCTACACCAACCCCTTTCAATTTCTCTTATGCTTGCCAAAGCATCAGAGTTCATAGTTAGGGGATCAACTAGTAGCATCTCAGTATGTAGTTTAGGGGATCTTCCCCTTCGATTGTGGTCAATACGATTTAGCCCACTGACATGATTGGCATCAGGGGATCCTTTGGAATCTAGCGGGTCAAAGCTCTAATAGGGATATTAGATTGGATAAAGCTATTTGTATCCCAAGTTTTTGTACCCCGCAGGTTTGCACCAACACTTTGTGTTGGTGTAAAACTAATTTTTATTAATGCACCAACACTTTGTGTCCGTGTAAATTTTTGTTAACGCACCAACACTTGTGTCGGTGTAAAGCATCAAAATGTTTGTGTATAACTGTGGTGTACAAATGGGGTACAATTTGTGGAGTAAGTGTAGCATGACCCTATTAGATTTCCATGATATTCCCGCAAACGAAATTGCGCTAAGCTAGAATTAGGTTGAATGAGAATTGGTGTATAAGTTTCCCGCCTCTATAATGCACAAACACATCTTTTCTACTCCCTAAGTCCCGTTGGATTCTTAGCAGTTACTATTGACATAGTTAAATTATTTCAACTTTCGTTATAGGTATCCATCTATTATTTGATATGACAATATAGTTTTGCTATCTAGTAGAGTATGTTCTTGATATATTTACAGTTTTTCATATATAACATTTATTGTTTAAATTCAAACAAGCATTTAAACAAAAAATCTATTCTAACAAAATAAAATCAATCAGATATTATACATTTATACCCTGTATAGTCTTACAAAATCAATAACAAAGAAGGCAGTACATCTCATCGTAGTCGTCTCAAATCTCGTCAATAAAAACTGAGCTCCATCATTAACAATAAAAATATATGTATATATTTTTTTTAATCACAATTAAGTTTATCACAATGCTCGAAAAGAATAGAACATCCGGAGGTATCATATAATTTGTTCTAGATATTGTGAGGACCTATTATATTAAAAAGAACATATAGTACCACGTGGTAGTTTATTTTTGCATCTCAAAATAAAGTTTTTTTCACCGAGTTGAATAAAGCTAAAATTAAGTACTTCATCCGTTTCTATTTATGAGTTTTGGTTGATTTTATTTTTCAATTTAGTTTATTTGATTGTAGATATAAAATTTAAAAATAAAATTTATATATTTAAAAATTACATCAAAAGTTTTATAAAATCCAAGGTAAAAAATACTATATTAGTATATCAAATAAAGAAAGAAGTTTGATCGTATAATAAATAGTTGCTGAGAAGAACATTTTAAAATGAGACGAGTAATTAAATTTTAAAGCAATGCTAGGGGTACACCAAATGGTGTACTCCATTTGTCCCTCACTCCTCTCTTGACCATTCAATTTTATTTTATTTTATTTATTTAAATTTTTTTAGTTTCTTGCCTTTTTTCTAAGTTTTATGATAAGAACAAATTTGGACACGAAAGAGCTCAACACAACGAGTATGGGACGCTGTTGTCGAAACGTCGCACCACAGTCCCCACCACCACGAAGCAACGCGCATCTAATGACCGATTAACCTCTCTTTAGATAATTACATTGACTTTTCAGCCAAAACCCCAAACAAACCTCACCTACTACTCCCCTTCCTTCCCCATTTCCCCCCCTCGCCAATTTCTCCCTCAGCTCCCATCCCCATGGCCAGAGGGTTTTTGCCCGACGACGACGACGACCCGGCCTTTAAGCTCTACAAGAAATGCTTCGATTGCTACACTTATTCCGTGAATTGCTCCCAAGACTGTTTCCGGCAGTTCCCACGCCCTCCTGAGACGACCACGGTTCTTCCCTCCGGCCTGAAATACCACATGCCTCCCTATTTGATCTTCTTGCTCTGCCTCCTCGCCGCCGCTTTCGTCTTCCTCTGCTACGTCACTATCCTGAAACGGTACCGTTTGGATCTGCGGATTCTCGGGAGGGAGCCGCCGCCGCCTCAAGGATCCCGGGAGGATTTCCTCGACGGGGATCGGGCGCCGCCGGTGGACCATCCCGTTTGGTACATCAGAACCGTCGGCCTCCCGGCGTCCGTTATCGATTCGATAACGGTGTTCAGGTACAAGAGGGGAGAGGGGCTAACGGAAGGGTCGGATTGCGCCGTTTGTCTAACGGAATTTCAAGAAGACGAGATCCTCCGCCTGCTGCCCAAATGCAGCCACGCTTTCCACGTTTCTTGCATCGACACCTGGCTGAGGTCACACAAGAACTGCCCCATGTGCCGCGCCCCAGTCACCGGCGGATCTGCCTTCGCCGTCGAAACCGACGGCAACCTAATGGCCGCCGGCGATCAAGAAACCAGGGCGGAAAACGCGGAAAGCGATCCGGAGAACCACGAAGCCATAATTAGAAGGAACCACAAAGGTGTTAGAGCGCAGAGCGACTTGGCGGGGCACAGAGTGGGCGGCGGCCGGGAAATTCAACCGGCGGCAAGAAGATCGGCGTCGATGGATTCATATTCAGTTTCAATGATGAGTATATCAGGGAGTGAGATGGGTCCCTCAGGGTCATCGTCTTCTGGGAGTAGAAGCTCTAGATGGTACGGGGCCATGAAGAGTTCTTCTTCGTTCCGGCTGCCGATGATAAGATCATCTTCCTTAACTTCTACTGGGAATTGTTCTTTGCCAACTACTACAACCTAAACAGCAGAAAACAAGTTTTTTTTTAAAAAAAAATTATATGTAGGACTAAACTGTTCTGGGTTTTGATTCTCCTTTCTTTTGGGAGTAAAAAACAAAAGCAAATGTAATTGCGTATCAATAATATCATTTGGTACCTAAGAGTCTAAGACACCATATCTAACAGTCTACCCTTTGGATAGCTAATGTATTATGAATCTTTATTTTAGGCTTTAGCTAGTACAACAATGATAACCATGGATGAGGGGCGCCTGGGGTGAGCGATTTCACTTTTTTGGAGAATGATAACCAAAACGTGGTCCTAAATTGAACTTTCTACCGGTAAGGGTTGTCGGCTTTGTATTGGTCTAACATGATGGGCCCATATTTTTCACTCTAATAGTAATAGTAATATATTATTGTAAAAAATTACTCCGAAGTATATGAAGTACAATTATAATATGACAAACTTAATATTTTAATTCATCAAGTGATGTTTTTTTAATTGCTTGAACATTTTGTTTACTCCTTCCGTCCAGAAGTATTTGTCCAGTTTTGACTTTTGGAACTGTTCATCTAAGCACTTTGACTCATCAAATTCTCTCAATGTGTAAGCCTAAATATAGTCATGTGTGATTTTGTTTGATTTGTCTTAGCATATAAATTATTAATATATAATTTTTATAATTTTTTAATATACAAATTAGAAGATAAAATGGATTAAAGAAGTGTATTGGATGGTATATAAAAATGAAAGTGGACAAATACTCTTGGACGGAGGTAGTATATTGTCCACTTTCATTTTTACACTCCATCCAATGCACTTCTTTGATCCACTTTCATATTATACTCCATCCGTCCCAGAGTATTTGTCCACTTTCATTTTTACACACCATCCAATGCACTTCTTTGATCCATTTTATCTTGTAATTTGTATATTAAAAAATTATAGAAATTATATATTAATAATCTATACGTTAAGACAAATCAAACAAGATCACACATGACTATATTTAGGCTTACATATTGAGATAATTTGATGAGTCAAAGTGCTTAGATGAACAGTTCCAAAAGTCAAAACTGGACAAAAACTGGGGGACGGAGGTAGTAGATAATAAGCCTAAAAGAGAAACATTATAGATAATGGCTCTAAGTGCTGACAAATGCTTTTTAATTTTTATTTTCTATTCTTATCTTAAATATTTTAAAATTGTGTTGTTTGAGATTATATTTTATACTTCGTAAATAATAATAAGAGAGGCCAAATTTTTATAATTGTTCTAAGGCCCACAAAGTGTCAGGCCCGACCTGCTTCTACAAGTACCTGATATAGATTCTACTTTTTGATATTCAAAACGAAAAGTAAATTTCTGAGACTTTTCTTGCACACGTATGTTCGTTTTCTTGGTGCAACGCACATATTATCCTTTGTTCTATATAAACCCTCATCTACATTCAATATCAATCCCAAGGACTCTAAACTCATGTTTGTTTCCATAGCTCTTGCTCCATCAATCTTTTTCAAAAGATCAATATTTTTGAGAGTAAAGAAATATTTTTCTTGAGTGGTAATGCTTTGGCACCCATTAAAGCTTACATATTTAAATACTATTTGTTTATTGTATGACCTTCTTATTCTTGTGTTGTTGTGTTTTTGCAAACTTGAAGTTTCTTCATTGAGTTTGTGGTTGCTAAGCTTTCCAAAAGCTTCAACAACGGGCGGAGGCATATGACTGGTTGATGGTTTTATCATTAGAGAAGTGGGCACTATGTTGCGATGGTGGGGCTCGATATGGAATCCTGACTATAAATCTTTCCGAAAGCTTCAATCACGTGCTTAAGGGATGCAAATTTCTTCCGGTATACGCTATCGTGAAGACTACCTATGAAAGATTAGTCAAATTGTTTGCAGACAAGCGGACAGACGGATTTACATGGCAACAAGCGGGGTTTAAGTTCCCTAAGTATGTCTGGAACGAGGTCAGACGCATGGAAGACAATCGTTTGCATTGTCATGTTATCCCTCATTATTCGCAACTAGGAATTTATCGGGTCGTTGTTCAGGGCAATGTTGGAGCTGCTGGTAGAGTAGATGAAATAATGGTACAATTAGGCCAAAAAATGTGTAGTTGTGGGAAATGAGCCACATTGCACATGCCAGTGTCCACGTCTATGTCGTGTGCCGTTATTGCAATATCACGATTGATGATTTCATTCCATCAGTATTCCCGATTCAGAGCTACGTGAATGCATACTCTGGAAATGTTATGCCGCTCCCGAATGAGATGGAATGGCCTAATCTTGATTACGAGTTAGTGCAACCAAATACGGGACAAAGGTCTCAGGTCAGTCGTCCAGTGACCACCCGTTTTACTAATAACATGGATGCGTCCGCGAAGGCGTCGTGGTGGTACTTAGTTCATTTAGGAATTTCTGTGTGATTTTTAAATATGTGCAACTTTGATGTTTTCTTACTTAAGCAGTTTGATTTTAAATTTCTGTACTTTAAATATGTGTGATTATTAATATTTAGTAGTTCGTTTAATTTCCGTTTTAAATTGAATGCTTTTGTACTTTAATACTTCCTCTGTCCACCAGAGATCTTTTCAGACACTATTCACATGGTCAATTTTAATTCATTTTGTTTATTTTTACTAGTCATTTCCTAAAATAATATAGTGTTGTCACTTCTAGTGTTATAGAACTTTTTATGTTGTTTATTATTATATAGATTTTATATTAAAATTTTACCCGTATATTCAAATAAATTGAATAGAAAATAAAGTTGGTCAAGCCTCTTAACACGTAATGGGAAGATTTTAGGTGGACGGAGGGAGTAATTCTTAACATGTTCTTTAAAAAATTCATTTCAATGTTCTTTAAAATGTTTTTTAAAAAAATTCTTTTCAATAAATTCTATATAACAATATAAAAAAATACCATACAATTAACCTAACATAATAAATTATACTCCTTCCGTTCACAAAAACATTTCCTCTTTCATAGATTTGTTGAAATAAAAAGATTTGATAGATTTTTTGTTGAAAGTTTTGCTATAGCCCGTTTGTTCTTTTCGTTCCATTTTCATTTAATTCTTTATAATTTTTTTGAACTTTTCTAATTCTTTTCTATTCTTTAAATCTCCTAATTCGTTTCTAATTCTGGAGTATAATCTATGATTTATACATATGTACATGGATTTAAATCTATGAAATCTTTTTACTTAAAAAATTCATTTAGATTTTTTTAAAACAACAAAAAAATAAATATTTTTTTTGAAATAACAAAAAGTCATCTACCATTTTTTTAAAAGACGAAACGGTAGATCATCTACCGTTTCAAAAAAAGTCAGGAGTCAGAATCACTTCACTGGTGGGGTATGGGTTTTCAAAAAATGCACTGGTCAGGAATTGACCCGCCTGTGGGCTGTGGCGCACCTGATGACGTTAGAGGATGGAGATGGGGCATGATCCTCAAATTACGGAAAAAGTAGTAGAACTTGGTGTGGTTGGACTATTGGAGGTTGGGTATTATATTGTTGGCACAATCAGTTTTATTGGGTAGGAAAATGCTAAAACCCTACCATTGCTACCAACCATGCTCCCCTACATAAACATGTGGTAAGGAGGTAAGAAAATTAAAATTAGAGGGCGAGTGGAGAATGGGTAGAGATAAATATGTGGTGGAGATGAAGTGGGTGGAGACAAGGTAGGTAGCAAGAGTGAAGAGTACGGTCCGATTGGGTGTTGTTGTAACCCCTCTCATCCCAATCCCCTACAACCCTTCCTTGAAACTTGATTTTTATATATATTAAATTGAAATATACGGAGCATTAGTCAAACATCATAAATCACAATAACAATGTCTTTCGACATAGCGAATATATGTGCAGATCGGAGTATATAAATGAGAAACGACTTTTAAATAAACTAAATACCGTTGTAAAAAAATAATATTGCCTCCCTCTCTAAAAGTCTTTCTTCTTTATTTTTTCCTTGTCCCAAACTTTTTCTTTCTCATTCCTATTAAAAAATCAATTTTATCCTATTTATCACATCATACTTTTTTTTCACTAATAATCTATCTATCATACTCCGTATTTTATTGTTACACACTACATCATGAATAGTTTTATTAGAAAAATTTAAAACAAAAACATCTCTTCCTTGAAAAACATGAAAATCGAAATGAGAACGATTTTAAAGGAGGTAGCGTATTACTGTGTAACTCAAATAAGTTTAGTCAAAAGGTTCCAAAATACAGAATGTTAGTCCAAAGGTAGATACCTTTTTTTTTCATTCCTAATGATTGAATTGCCTTCCTTTCCAACTAATTCCAATAACAACCTAGCTATATAATTTCAATAACTCTATTAAACCACCTATATGTGGAGGACTTTCATTTAGGGAGGGAAGACTATGGAGTACCGAGGATCCATTTTTATTCATAATATAGTATAATATTACCACAACTAACACTACACGTACTCTTAATTAATTAATTAATTAAACATTGCCTAAGGTGAGATGGGCCGCGACGATTATGTTACACGAGGTGGTTGTAATTGTAACTGTTTGATTATTTTCGCTATTATTATTATTATTATCATCATCATTGTGTGTCTTATTGTTAGCGTAGTTAACATTTTTGGCTTGAGGGAGGACGACGACCATCCGGATTTGCCGCAGTACGCCGTCCTGGACGCGGTCTTGTCCGAAAACGCTAAGGTGACGGACAAAAACCTTATAACAGCCGACTTCACCATCACCCTCAAAGCCACCAACACAAACAAAAAAAAAACACAACCGTTTTCTACGGCAACACCACACATGCGAGCATCACTCGCCGAGTCCGAAGACGGGTTATTGCGTCCACGTCGTCTCCGTCCATCGACCCCTCCTCGCTGGGTCCCGGGAACTCTACCGATGTCACGATCAATCTTCGCGCTCAAACAGGCAATTTTCCTTCCCGGGGGACGGCGACACCGCGGGCCCCGCCACGGTCTACGACTTGGTCTTGAGGGTGCGTTTTCGTGTTGGGTTCGAAGAGGGATCAAACTATAGCAATATCAAGGTTTTGGTGACTTGCTACGATCTCAAATGCAGTTTTCCGGCGGGTTTCACGGCGGACAACAACCCTACATGTAAGACTAAGGAAGTGCCTCATTGGCAATACTTTCCGGGAGACGAAGAGCAGGGC